TACCGGTATAGTGCCGGTAGGTCGATGCCTCCAAGTGAGGCTGTACCGGTACTTTATACCGGTGGGGCAGAGGCCGACCTCAATGCTGCGAGGCCTGGCCATGCCCTGAACCGTCCAGATGGACGGTTCATCCCCAACCGGCGGGCGGCAGCCTCAAGAGCGCCGCCAGGCCCAATGATAATGCCGTTTGGGCCTGCCCGTCGGGTGCTGGTCCAAGATCAGGCCCCGAGGGCCTGTAATAACCCAAGGTTGGGCCTTTAGGCCCTGATGTGTCCCTCCGGCCCTAAGTCGGGTCCGGTAGGACCTGTGTGCGTCGAAGATGTAACACACTCCCCCTCTTAAAAGACCGAGCTACCTGCGAGGGCGAAGTTGTCTGTCCGATACCGGGGTGGGTCGGGCGGGACGAGCTGCGTCCTTAGCAAGGCGTCGCTTCTCGTAGTCGGCGAATATGAGGGGTGCAGAAGTCTGCAAATCTGTACTGGAGATCCACCGAGTGTCATCAGGCGCACATTGCTTGAATGTGACTTTGTACTGCCTTGGCTTGTTGCCATACTTGCGGTGCGTGATGACTCGGTCAACTTCCTGATGTCCGTCCATAGAAGGCGGATCCTGTGATCGACGTCCGGGGAACTCGTCAGCTGAAGGTGGCGTGTAGATGGCCAGCTTCGATGCGTGGAAAAACCGTAAAACTATCAGGTGCGGTGGAATGTTGATCACGAAGGAAGGACCTGCGGGGTCGTCTCCAACGACAGAAGTGACTTCCCATGGTCCGAACCATTTCGGAAGGAGTTTGCGCGAAACATCCTGCTCGAGTGCAAATTCCTCGGAGAGGACCCAAACAAGGTCTCCCTCGCGGAAAGGACATGGAAGTCGACGTCGGTTAGCCTGCTGCTGCATGCGGATCTGAGCCTTTTGCATATTTGCGCGGGCTTTGATCAGCAAGTCCCGGTACTTCCGGATGGAAGCGGGAGAGCAAGGGACGTCTATGTCGGCAGCTTGTGGCAAAAGGAGATCAGCGAAGATCCGTGCTTTCTCTCCACCGTGATGTAGCTCGAATGGTGTGACGCAGATCGTCGGGTGCACCGACGTGTTATAGGCGAACTCGATGTCGGGAAGCCGGTCAACCCAATCTTTCTGGTCGGGACGGATGAGCGTACGCAACATCATCTGAGCGGTCTGGTGCGCTCGTTCCGTCTGACTATCCGTCTGCGGGTGCCGAGCCGAGCTCAGTTTCATTGTCGTACCGGACTCAGCCATGAGGGAAATCCAAAAGGCTGGCATGAAACGAGTATCTCGGTCGCTCACTATGTCTTCCGGAACACCCTGGTTGGTAATCCAACCGGTGTGCAAGAGTCGTGCGAGCTCAGGTGCTGCAGCATGATACTTGCAAGGAAGGAAGCGAGCATACTTGCTCAAACGGTCAACGACCGTGAAAATACCGTCATGGCCATGGCGATCGCGGGGAAACGGGTCTGTCACGTCCATAGCAATGGAGAGGCATGGTGCCCGAGGAATCGGCAACGGTTTCAGTTCGCCGAAGGGGACTCGAGATCGACCCTTGTTACAGTGGCAAACTGCACATGACTCAATGTACCTCGTGACGTCATGAAGGACGTCAGGCCAGTGAAAACGTTGGCGGAGGCGTGCTAGTGTGCGGTTCACGCCAAGGTGTGCCGAAAGTCGTGCGTCGTGGAATTCACCGAGAAGATGAGTCCGTAAGATGCGATCTTGGGGCACAACTAACAAGTCCTTTCCTCTCGTGTGAAGGAGAAGGAACCCGTCGGAAATCCGATA